ACACTGTGCTGTACGTTTAGATTCTGTTTATCCTCATTCAAGTCATAATCGTATGAGCTGCCTCCCTGCCCGAAGCCCACATCTGCACTTTTCTAAACCCAGAGCCGTTGTCTGCTGTGGTTGGGTCCCCTCCGGGGTGGGCTAAGTATGGGCAGGATTTTGCTGGTGTTTCGTACTAATGTTCAGGCTGCCGTGGAGTGAATCCTATTTTAAAAGCCTACTCGGGCGCAGAATCCATTTATTTGCTCTCAAATTAGATGTTTGCCTCTCAGGTCCAAACCAAAACAGCAATGCAGTTTACCTCATCTGCTCTCCATTCCTGGCTCCCAGCCAGCGGACGCGGGCACTCAGCCCGTGAGCTTTCTTCCTAGGCCCAGGAAACCGAGCTGATCTGGAAAATTTAGTGATTTTCAGAATGACAAAGTCATCGCCTCTGTTCCATTTTACGGCGTTGACGGGAACGCATATTCGCTTGGAATCCGGTCACCAGAATAGGTGTGCCCGTCAGAAAGTGGGGCTTGTGCTCGCTTCGGCAGCACATATACTAGAAAGTGGGGCTGGTGGTACGACGGAGTTATTCTGCTCAAGGGCCTTTGCCCACTGTGCCCTTGGCAAGCTTTGGCATAATTGGTTATCTGGATCTTATTGCTTTTTATTCCTGAGGGTGTCCCTGAGAATTCTACAAACAAACCAGGTGTCCCCTGTGGGGCCCGGTGACAGGAACTGATGTCCGAGGGTGGACACGGCCTGTGCAGGGGCTGACACTGGCTTCCCACGCGGGGAGGAGGACCCTCACTCTCCACGTACCGTTTCCAGGTAAACTCTGCCGGGTCTTCATAGGTGTCCTTGCTGACCTTAGAGAGGCCACGAAACTGGTAAACTTCAATTTTGAGTAAGTATCTTGGAAATTGGGAAAACACAGGAAATATTTTTTTCATGGTCCCTCCCTCCTTTCCACTCTCTAAAAATCAATGGAAATAATCCTGGGTGAGGATCAGCAGCAAGAAAACAAGAGTCTAGTGACGTTCGGCTGAATGTTCTGTGTGTATCCCACCTAAGGTGCTTATCTAACCGCTCTGTCCTCTGGAAAGTCCCTCCGGAGGAAACCTTTGGATTGGCCTCCTGGGAGGAGCAGCCTTAGAGCCAGAGCACAGCTCTTCTCCGCTGATTTCATCACCATGTGGTCCGACACGCTGCTCCAGCCACCTGTTTGTCTCCCCTCACCCTGTGAGCGGCCTTGGCCACCCCCACCCACCACGCGCACCCTTTGGCGCCTTTGTCTTGTTATATGTCTTTCCACAGTTATCTCCTCTCCCCAGCTGAACAGTGAGTGTCGCTTTTTTTTCCAAGTCCTCATCTGAAGACATTTTTTTCCATTGATTTCTGAGAGAGAATTGAAGGGAGAGAGGAGGAGGAGAAAGAGAGAGAGAAAAACATCAATATGAGAGAGACACATGGATTTATTGCTCCTGCACGCCTCCTACGGGGCTGGGGAACCTGTACCCGAGGTACATGCTCTGACTTGGAATCGAACCTGCCGCCCTTTGGTCCGCAGGCCGCTGCTCTAACCACTGAGCAACCAGCCAGGGCAAGCAATGCTTGAAAGACAAAGGTGAGGGCTCATCATTCCTCTCAGGCATCGTTCCCAAGTACTTCCTGACCCCTGCTTCCCCCAGCATCTGGCAAAGGCTGGTGCATAAACAGCACTTGGTCAGTATGGGCCATGGACGGCTCCCCTCCTTGGAGGGGCGGGGAAGTGAGTTATGTGTGTCCCAGTCACTTTGGCCTGCAACGCACACAGGTGGCACCGCTGGCCAGAACCTGGGCTTCCTCAGTCACTAAACAAAACCCATGGGCCAGAGTCTGGCACGTGGAGGGAAGGGCGGCAGCAGCTGTTTGCACTGGGGCTTGGGGTGGTCTGCAGTGGCGGACGGGAGGATGCTTCTCTGTTCCTGCTTATCCGCTAACATCTGAAAAGTCACAGTTACAGGCTTGGTTCAAGGTAAATGGGCCCGTCAAATGCACGTGGTCCCTGGAGGTGTCGTCCTTGGGCTTCCGGCTGATTAGCTCCCCGTGACTGGCCCTCAGGTTTGGCTGCGCGCAGGCCCAGCCTCTCCACTCACTGAGCGTGTGGCCTCGGCGAGCCATTTCATCTCTCTGAGCCTCAGTTTACTCATTTATGGCATGCACACTGGCCATTTCTCAAATTGTAAAATGAAAATAACAATAAATTAAGTGGGTCGCATAACTGCCCAGCATTTCCTACTTTTTAAAATTCTCAAGTGCGAAGTGAGGTGCTTTGAACTTCACGCTAGAATATTAGAAACTTTTTGGCTTGAAATAGAGACCAAACAAAGCTGTTCTGAGGCCACTGGCACTTGTTCCCCTAACTCTGAGGGAGAAGTTGAGGGGCAGCGTCGGGCTCCGGGAGGGACTGCTCCGGAGTTTTCTTTGTTTAGATGCAGGTAAGCCAATAGCTGCTCGTGTTCTTAAAGGCTCGCTCTGAAGTTTGGGAAGTAAGGCAAGTGCAAACATGCCAGCCTGGGATTTAATATTTTCAATCTTGTAAAATGGCACACAGTGAGGACACGCAGAGAGAAAGGGCACAACTTTATAAAAACAGAGACTTGTTTCTCTCCCTCCACTTTTCCCCAGTGGGGAGGTGTTAAATGGCAGGTGATTAGTAAAATAAAACTGAAAATACCACCGCCCAGGATTGCTGTCCACCACGCCTGTACACGCCGTGCTCCGTGCGTGTGGCAGGCGGCGTGGCTGCTGTGGCTGGGGTGGTCCACACCGGTGCAGCAGGAGCCACAGCACCCGGAACGCGTCAGCAGCACTGGTAACCCCGGTGCTGCCAGGTGGGCTGGACTTGTGGGGCGATCACTGTGAGCTGTATAAATGGCCAACCGCTCTGCTGCACACCTGGAACTAATGCAATATTAAGCGTAAAGTGTACATGGAAAATTACGGTGTAGCAGGGTGTCCCCTCATCCCTGTCCAGCATGTGGCACTGGGGGGGAGGACTCCTGTCGTGCACAAGTGGGGGTGCTGAAGCCTGGAGCCCCCGACGGGGGAGCATTCTGGAGGGTGTCCCTGGCGTCGTGCTGGGCAGGCCACTCGGTGCCCCTCTGGTCACTGCCTCTGACACCTGTGCCTTCAGCCCCCTGTGCCTTCAGCCCCCAGACCTTTCTCACTTTCTTTATTTCTCTCCTGGTTCCAATTCCTGTGGTGCTGGGCCTTCACACAAAGGCGTTCACTGAGCAGGCTTTTCCGGGGGGGCTCCTTAGCCCGTCAGGCTCAAGGCTGGGAGGGAGGGGGTTTAGTTTCCCGGAGGGCGGGAGGACCCAGATTTTGGAATCTCTGTGCAGGCCCACGGTGGGTGGTGGGTGGTCTCCCTGCAGGACCCCAGTGGGCGTGGGAGGTCAGACTCCGTTTCTCTCTCATATCTCACCCCAGGCCTCAACGTAACTATCTCTCCAAACCAGCGTTAGGCAGTGCGGGCGCAGCAGGCCCCTCCCACTGTCAGCCCAGGAATGACCAGTAAAGGATTAAAAATTGTGTTTCAATATATAGCTGAGTTCTGTATTTAACTATAAACTTCTATACCTGTAATATAAAGTGTTTGAGTTTTTAATTGGGCTGAAAAATCAGTTTATTTTGAAAAAGCTCTATGAACTCTAAGAGACTGCATGGGTTTTTTTTGCTAAATGTAATAAGGAGGCCCTTCCAACTTCTCAAGGAATGTATTCCCAGATAATTTTGTGAGCGTCCCAAGTTTGTGAAACTACTAGAACATAATGCAGTGAGGTGTGATTACAGAATTTAAATGACCTCTAGAGAATTTTATCAACAACCTGGTAATGCTGAGACAGTGGCAAAACCACTCTGACTGCCAGGTGCCACCCCTTCTAACCCCTAAGTAATTTGCCTTACATACTAGCTCATCCTTTTCTGAGGTTCAAGTTCGTGCCTCAGAAATTATTTGTCATGTTTTTTTTTTGTTTGTTTTTTAGTATACGTTAGGAACACTTGAAAACTCAGGTGCTGGAGCGTCTTCTCTAGTATCAGTAAGTGTTTAGCAGGAACTAACTCTGTAATAAATGGAATTCAATTCCACACATGGTTTGTTCAAGCACACTTAATAAGTAGTCTATTTTTTAAATGTAAATATTTGGATGAAGTTTTTGTTTGTTTTGAAATATTCATTTGCTACATTAACCATGGTTTCAGAATTTACCATTTGAACAGTTTGGTTTCAGAATCTGTAAAATGAACTAAGAATCTTGTGTATCAATTCAGACATGTGAGAATATGTGTTTATAAAGCGTGGATCTTGCTTTGGTTGTATAGCTTCATCATTCATTTCATGGATATCAATAGCAAATGACTTTAAAACTATTCCTGCCCTCTAAGGTGTTGGAGTGGGGAAGGGAAATGGGACCTCCCAGGTAGAAACCTGAGGAAAACAGAAATCACAAGGAAAGGAGCCTTGACTTGATTTTAGTGATGTTTTTAATTTTAAATAAGCTTGAGATCATAGTGACTTTGATAGGAAAAGACAAATTTAGATCTTAAATATATATTTAAAAGCCACTGCCTTAAAGGTGTATTTGCAATGCATCAGCTTGAATTGTATTTTGTCTGTGTTTGGGAGAAGTAAGTGGTGGTAATGTGATGTCAAAACTTTGATTTAATGATGAGTTACTTTGGAGCTACAGTAGTAGATAAATGTAATATAATATGCAAGGCTCTTAAAGCATTCATCTTTTGTGATACAATGATATCCATACCCTTGGTATGAAGGAAAATTTACTTGTTTAGTGCATTTAAATAATGTGATTTTTCTTTTTTTAATCATGAACTCAGCACTATGCATCATCTCTCACCAAGGTTTTAATAGGTTACACCCTTGATTTTTCAGTATTTCAGTTTCAAAATTAGATGTTAGTTTAATTTTAAAACACTTCCTGCCCTAGCCGATTTGGCTCAGTGGATAGAGCATTGGCCTGCGGGCCAAAGGCTCCTGGCAAGCCTACAAGTGGTCCGACAAGCTGCAGTACCACGCAGGCCTGGCAGCCAGCCTCCTGAATCAACAGGCGCTGAAACGCTCTGCTAACCAGATGGGAGCGTCTGCGAAACGCCGGCCCAAGGCGCAGCCCGCCTCGCTCCTCCTGCCGCCTCAGTATGTCGATGACGTGATCAGCCGCATTGACAGGATGTTTCCTGAAATGTCCATCCAGTTATCCAGACCCAATGGAACGTCAGCGATGCTTCTGGTGACCTTGGGAAAGGTGCTGAAAGCGATTGTCGTCCTGCGGAGCCTGCTCATTGACCGAACGATCGTGAAGGGCTACAACGAGAACGTCTACACGGAAGACGGCAAGCTGGATATATGGTCCAAGTCCAACTACCAAGTGTTCCGGAAGGTGACAGACCACGCCACCACTGCCCTGCTGCACTACCAGCTGCCCCAGATGCCACATGTCGTGGTCCGGTCCTTCCTGACCTGGCTGCGAAGTTACATAAAGCTGTTCCAGGCGCCCTGCCAGCGCTGCGGGAAGTTCCTGCGGGACGGCCTGCCCCCCACCTGGAGGGACTTCCGCACCCTCGAAGCCTTCCACGACACCTGCCGGCAGTGACCGCCCCTCCCCGCCCCTTCCCCCCCCAGGGGGTCAGGGGTCAGGAGTCAGACCGCCCATGCCCCCCTCCCCCACCCCCCCAGGACAGCCTGGCTCTGAGGCGGAGCCTCCGAAGGACAGACTCCGTCCCGGTGGACGGGACACCTTGCGGGCGGCACAGCAACCTTAGACCCGGGATGAGGGTACCGGCGGGCTCGGTGGTCGCTCTGCCTCCCGGGGAATCGCCCTGGGATCGTGTTCCCAGTGTTTTCACTGTGCTAGGGTGAGGGACTGAGGCATAGAAGGGTTACAGAATGTGCTAGCGGGAGGGACGGAGGCATGGAAAGGTTACCTATTGTATTAGGGTCCGGGATCATGACAGAAAAATTGCTAGATTGTCTCAGAAAACAATGTATTCTGATTCAATCCAGCCAGGTGTGACTCGGTTTACCTCCCCATTCATACTTGTAAACTTTGTATGAACCCTGCCAGTGCCAGGAAATGCTTTGTAGTGTTACAGATAAAAGGCTTTGCTGTACCCTCGGTCAGCACTGCAGTATGAGGTTCCCTACAGGAGGGACGTACTATAGTCAGCTGGCCAGCTTAATAAAGGCTCCTAAATTTAAATTCTGAGTCGGTGGTCTGTCTCGCTGATTGAACCCATAACACCATGAGCCCATGTTCGTGCAGTCATGCTGGCATTGCATTTTGTAACTTATTTTTATGACAATAAACCTGTCCCCATTCTCAGGCGTCAGGAAAGAAGAGGAGCAGAAGCCTGGGTGGTGGGTGGGAGGATGCTGGGG